GTAGCAATACTACATCTCCAAAACAGCTGCACATAGTCAAGGTCACTGTTGAAGAAAGGATGCAGCAGACGCAGTCATCCTTCTCACCTCCTTGCTCAAATCACTTCTCTGGCCCCTGCACAGAGCAGATATATTGTGCTGAATGATGGTGAATGACTATTGTATTAGACCTCCTACCACTGGGACAAAATACCCAATACTTGAAACTTAAAGGAAGAAGAGTTTACTTTGGCTCATAATTTTAGGGAAATCCACCCATGGTCAGCAGGCTCCAAAGCAAAAAAATAAGGCAGAAGGACATGGCAGAGCAAAACTACTCAACCCATGGCAGCCAAGAAGCAGAGATAGAAGGGAGGAGCCAAGGATAAGAGTATACCCTTCCAGATTATGCCCCAGGAACCCACCTCCAACTAGGCCCCATCTCTAAACATGAGACTTTTGGAGCACATTTTAGATGACACCATAATATTCTATCTCTTGCCCTGCAAAGGCTCATGTTGATCTCATTATGTAACTGTATTGAGTTCATCAACTTTCCAAAGTCTTAACAAGTTCCAGCATTACTGAAAAGTTGAAGTTCAAAGTCTTCCTGTGACTCAAGGCAAGCTCTTAGCTATGAGTCCCTGCAAAAGTCAAAAAGTTAGGTGATTTAAGGTACAATGGCACAAGTTAAACATTTCCTTTTCAAAAGGGAAGAATGATGGATAGGCAGGACTGAGACCAAAGCAAGATCGAAATCCAGCACCACAGACATTAAGTCCCATAGTTCTGACCCAGCACTGGGCCATGTGGTGGTTAGATGTGAATTCCACAACACTTGGGCAGTCCTGCCCCATGGCATCTCTCTTGGGCTGGCTCTGCTCACTGCTTGAAGCTTTCCTCATCAGATATTCCTGGTTCCTGGGATCTTTAACTTCCTGGGGTCTCCATTGCTTCACTCTTATAGATTTATGCATTGTCCTCTCAGGAGCACATTTCTTGGTCTCTCAGAGCTTTTCAAATATGATTGGAAACCTCTCTGACCCCATAGCTCTTGCACTCAGCATGCCTAAAAAGCCAGAACCATGTGGATAACATCAAGGTCTGTTGCTGTCTTGACCTATAGCCAGGTCCCTTTGGACCATAAGTGAAGTGGCCTCAAAGTGTCTGGAGGACTGACCTTGGGGATACATTTCCCTTTGCAGCCCTGAATGAGCAAAGCACCCTGGGGCTCCCTTCTCAAAGCAAAGTCTTTCAAAATAATTACCCTTTTACACTCTAGAGCTTGCAAAGTATAGGGTCTAGCTAATTTGTGAGTTGCATTTAAGGTGTCTTTCCTACTGTCTTGATCTCAACTACTTGGCTTTCTTTTGAAGCAGGGTCTCATTATGTAGGTAATTCAGGCTTTGCTTGCACTCACTATGTGGCCTAGGCTGGACTTGAACTCATAGTGGTTCTCTCACCTCAGCTTCCAGAGTGCTGGGATTATAGATGTATACCACTTGGCTTCCTTTTAATGTTAACATATCCAGCATCCATACTTGCCTTGTCTCCACCTTTGTAGGCAATTTCTTTATGGTAAAACTGCAAACATTTTATGTCTGCTTTTGCTCCTTATTCTCACCACAGATCTGGCTAAAAGCAGGCAGTAGTATCCATACCATACCATGAACATTGGTCTGCCTTGAAATTTCCTCCACTAGACTAACTAGTTCACAATAATCTCAGGCCCTTGGGAAGTCTCAGGACATGGGCAAAATGTAGAGAAGTTTCTTGCCAGACTGTAACATGCATGGTCTCTAGATCAGTCTCCAATAACATCTCTGTTGCCAACTGAATGCCCATGGGCCTGGCCTTTACTGTCCACATTCATATCAGCAGTTGGGTCTTCTCAGCTCCAAACAGAATCATCCATCAAACTCTGCTTAGAGCAGTCTATGGCTTCTCCATTCTGCTTCTCCAAACTATGCCAAACTCTTCATGCAAACAAGTTCCAAAGGCTTTTGAACCACATGGTCATGTACAATCACAAAAATGACCCTGCTCCTGGTATCAATCTTCTGCATTAGTCAGCTTTCCTGTTGTGGGGAGAAAACACCTAATACATACAGTTTAAAGGAGAAGAGGCTCTTGGCTTTGGGAAATTTGTCTGTGGTTTGCAGGCTACAGGGGAAATCTGACATGGCAGAGGGGCATGGCAGAGGAAAGCTGCCAACACAAGACAGCCAGGAAACAGAGAAAGAAGGGAGAAACCAGGGACAAAAATACACCCTTCCAGACCATGCCTCCAGTGACCTGCCTCTTGCAGTGAACCCCAGGGCCTCACACATTCTATGGCCAGACAGTAACTTTTACTGGAATGCACCCCTATTCTCGATATGGATTTACCTTCTGAGTCTCAGTGATTCTGCCAGTAATATCAGCCTAGGGTCTACACCAGCCTGAATTCTTAAAGCAATATCCTATTTATCTTTCCAGAACAGGGGACTCATCATGTGGCAAAGCACTGTGAGAATAGCCTTGTGACCATGGTACCCACTGGCTGTACCATGCTACTCATTCTTAGGACAGCCAACATGACAGAAATGAGCCAATCTGAAGATAACATTTAACCATTTGAGTGCCATCTTCCAGGGTAAGGTGATCACAAAGCATGAAGGGTTTTTCTGGGTGGCTGTGTCCCCAGGGAGTTATAGCACACAGGTCTCATCAAATTACCAAACAGGGCAACAGAATTGTCTTCACTCCCTCATGCCTACAGAGGCAACTACAGAATTTATGCTTCCTATTGCAAATTTAGAATCTTCCAGATCAGATGACTTGTTTCCCAGGGGAAGGCTTCTATGATGGTGTGAGGAGAACTCTATTGAATTTGAAGCTACAACTACCACCTGCCCACTTTGGGCTTCTGATGCCAATGGACCAAAGGTAGAGAAGACCTAGTGTGCAGTCTTAGTTACTGTTCTCATTGCTGAGACAAAACACCCAATACCCAAGGTTAAGGAAAAAAAGGTTTATTTAGCTCAGAGTTTGTACAGGTTTCAGTCCATAATCAACTGGCTCCAAGGCAGGGCAGCACATGGCAGAGGGACAACCATTCATGGCAGTGGAGGACAGCAAAAGCAACAGGGGACTTAACAGTGTCTTTCTGCTCCTTATATTATATACAGAATGCTGGGGTTAGGGCAGTGCCAAACCAATCAGTGGACTGATTTAGTAATCACCCCAGCACCACACTGTAGATTTAACCACCTCTGAAAAAGCCCTATGACTTCATGAGACTTTGAGGGGACATCTAGACTCAAGCCATAACATATGCTGACAAAAAAAACTGGCCCGGACTACTACTCAGGACCTAATATTGATGAGAGATAATTTATAATGGACACAATGGGGGCAAGAAAGAGTGTCTGAGCACATAGTGTGCATGGGCATATTTTGGTGGCTCCCTGCCTGGTGACAACAGTGCACTGGGCAGGTTGTGTTAGTCACTTTCCTTTTTGCTGGTACAAAATACTCAAAATCACCCATTTAAAAGAGAAAGGTTGGTTGGCTCACAGTTTCAGTCCACGGTTCGCTGGATCCCAGACAGAAATGGCACAGGGGAAGGTGCTGGGTGGAAGAGAGCTGTTCACACTTCCTGGTGGCCCACGAAGCAGAGAGTGAAGGGAGGGGTGCTACCCTCCCCCAGGGACCAGCCTCTCCGGCCAGGCCCAGCTCCCAGCAGTATACTCAGCTGCTGAGCACACCAGCACTGCCTCCACTGGTGAGCAGCCCACACACACCACAGTCCAGCCCCCTCCCTCTGTGCCTGCTTGCTCTTGAGGGCTTTGAGGAACATTCTTGATCTAAACCATGACACAGTGACTAAGGCACAGCCTTTTGGGGTGGGGGTGGAGGGTGAAGATCTGAGTCCTTGTGGCAGCAGTGAGTTTCACCCCAGCTTGGATAGGTGCAGCTGAAGTGAGTCAGTGTGTTTCTCACTGCTGCCCTGGGTTCCAAGCAGCCACTCTGCCCTCAGCCACATGCCACCAGAACAGCAGGGACAGGATTGCCCCAGGAGCTCCCTTTCATGACTCAGGCAGGTGGTTCTGGAAAGAGTTTCATGAGGTTCCTCAGAAAGTCCTCTAGGGCCCATGGTGACCCCAGGTGGGGAGGGTAGCATGGTGTTGGTTTTTCTCGAAGTCCCTGCACTCCAGCTCCCTGAGAAGATGTTCCCAAAGGACCCTGCAGCCCAATCTGGCCCCATTCTACTCTTGGACTAGTCCTGGATAGAGGGTGATGAGGAGAATTCTCTTGAGCTGTACCAATGATGGAAACAAATTCTTTCTTATCCTGGCCAAGTTTCATCTGAAGTTTCAAAGGCTATGTAATGTGTCTCCTCTCATTTTTTGACACTCTCCTTTTGGCTCCAAAAACATTCATTGGTCCTAGGTGGTGCAGTGAATGCATTGGCCTCTAAGAAAGGGCAAATGGAAGGAAAGGTACGCTTGGAGGCAGGGCCTGGGGCATCAGGAAGCTGGGGGACAGGTCCGTGGAGCATGGTGTGGCTGAGAAAGCATGCCCACGGGCACACTGACTCCATTCGCTATTATAATGGTGCCGCATTTGTGCAGAGGCAGGATGGAGGCCAGGATGATTCTCAGCCACTGTTGTTACCAACACCCAGAAATGGCAGGTTCTCAGGTCAAGCTTGGGCTGTTGATATTCTCACCCTAAGTGACAATAACTATCTTGCCTTAGACCCAGCAGTTTCCATCGGAGAGATTCCATCTTGTTTTCTCTGGTGAATTTCTCTGGTGAATTGCGAAATATGCTCCTGCCTTTCGTTGTCCCCCACACCCGCTGTCGCAGGCTCAGAAATGGGCTCCGGGTTGTACCTGTGACCTGGTTGCTTCTTTCAGATCTCAACTGAAATAAAGCAAAAACTGTCATTTCCTTCCTCTTGGGGCTGAATGTCAGATGCATCCTGCTCCTTTTGCAGCCTTTTCTGAGTAGCAATTTCCTGTGCCTCAAAGCTGCAGAAATCTTAGAACTGTAGAAGTATCAGAACTAGGAAGAACACTTAGCCTTTCTTTAAGCAAGTCCGTGAAGTGCTCCTCTGAGAAGGTGAGTGTCCTAGCAGAGCCTTGAGGGGTCTGGCTCCCCAACTCTTGATGTCTCCGTGTGGGCTACAGAACCTGCCTGGAGCCTTTTTCATGCAAAAGAAAGGTGAAGGTCGGTATGCATGGGGGTGAGGGGTGGGGTAGGGGAGGTCACAGGGGCACTTTCTGGCAAGCCGCTCAGTTTTTCTGTGAGCCTAAAGCTATTTTTACAAGTCTATTCATTAGTCACAAGGTGCTACCCATTGTCATTCTAAGCACACTTTCAGGCCTGTGCAGGAAACAGCAACTGTCTCCAGTGTCCACCAGGTGGCACCATCCCTCCACTCCCTCCTGCTCTCTGGCCCTACCTTTTCCCTTTCTGTACAGCAGCACCTCGCCTGTGTCAGCATCCCAGATCTGGCCGCGGGTCTACAAGATCAGCACACTCAGTGCTTCTGGCCGTTTTGGTCTTGGCCCATGTCTCAAGCACCCTGACAAATAGCAGGCATCCTGGGTGTGTGGTTGAGGAGGCGCCTAAGTGGAGCTGGGCACTGTGGGAGGCTGCTGGGTCACACCTGGGCATGAACTCCTGCGCACTCCCTCTTCCGAGGGCCAGGCCCCCAGTGTCTCCTCACCTCGCGCCCCTGCTACCCTCTGCACTTCAGCTTACTCACCCCACAGACCTCTCCTTGTGTGGTGGCCCCTTCAAAACGTGCTTTTCATATTCCCCAGGCTTACTAGGCGGTGGGTAGGGGTAGGCTTTGACGCCCTGAACAGGGGGCCCATGTACATTCTCCCACCTGCTGTACCTTCCTCACACTTCCTACAATCTCCACGACTGAAGGAAGGAATCTAAAAATCAAACATCCTGTGGAGGAAACATGCTCAGATCACAGTCAGACAAGAATTGTAATTTAAAGATATTGTCAACATGACAGTGACGCACAGGAAAGCTTTGCTAGACCTGAGACCTGCTGAAGAGGTTGGGATTTCATAAGTGAGACCAGGACCAACAAGGCCTGCAGGCAGAAGGTGCCTCTGTTCCAGCTGCCCAACAGAGAGGCCCCAGAGGAGAGGAGAGTTACACTCAGGAAGCCGGGAAGAGGATCTGATGTCAGAATGAGAAACTTGATATTTACCCAGGATAGTGGAACAAGATGATGCATAAAATTACATGAAAACTAAAACTTAAATGTGTTACATGACAAGGTAAACTGAAATGGGCTACAAAGTAGAGATGGTTATTACACCGTTAGCTTTCTTGTGGCTGAGACACAATGCCCAGCACACTCACAAATTGAAGGAGCAGAGGTTTAATTTGGCTCACAGTTGTAAGGAATTCAGTCCATGGTCAGCTGGCTCCAAGGCAAGAATGTTTTGGTGCAAAGGCATGGAACAGCAGATCTGCTCAGTTCATGGTGACTGGGAAGTAGAGTGAGGGAAGAGTGCCAGAGAGGAACAGGGAAAGGCCATATACAACACCTGTTATAGTTTATATCTAGATGCCCCCACAAAGCCTCATGTGCTCATAAGTGGGGATTCCCAGAGGTGGCTGGATTTAGGATGTGTGAATATGGATTAAGGGTGTCGTCCTCAGGGTTTGCAAGGGAAACAATACAGGACACATAAATAAGATTTTGCTTTGTTTTGTTTTTTTGAGACAGTGTTTTGCTATGCAGTTCAGGCTGGCCCAGGCTGGTCTCAAACTCACAATGATCCTCCTGCCTCATTTTCCCAAGTGCTGGGATTACAGGCATGTGCCACCACACCCAGCCATAGGATTATTTTATAAGAGTCACCCAAAGAGTCATATACAAAGGGAGTGCAGGAAATCTGCCTACACACTAAAGACCCAAAGAATCCAGCTGAGGGCCTGGATCCTACAGCAATGTTCTGCATGAGTCTAGCTGAAGACCTAGAGCCCATGACAATGCCTCATGCAAGCTTGTTTCACAAATCTGCACTGGGAAGGCCCAAAGGTTAGTGGTGGAAGCTAGAAAGTCTGTGCTAGTGGGATGAAGGATCTGTGCCAGCAGGCTGAGGGATCTGCACGGGAGCCAGGAAGCAATGCTCAAAGTAAGGACCAGAACTCCCCCAAAGTGAACTGTAGCCATTCTCAGCAACAACAAGGTCCTGAGCTCCTCTGACAATGACAGCTGAGTTCATATCAGGAAAGCCAAGATGACAAGCTCCTGTAGGAGAATCAACAGCCCCAAGAGAATCAACAGCTCCAGGAGAACCAATAGCTTCACTTTTTTCTCTCCAGTTCTTGTTCTTATGCTGTTAGCAACAATCCTCAGATAGCCGCCCCCCCACCCCCGCTACCCAGTGCCATACTGATTCAATTCAGCTGGGTGTTACAAGCTGACCACCAGTTGTCAATCCACCACAAACGGTGTGTGATAGCTCAATTGGTTTCGTATAATGCTGGGTATGGACAGTGGAAGCCCCACCTTGGGTGTGGGTGGCACCAATCAATGGGCTTGCAGCTAGGATGGAATATAAAGGTGTCTTGGTTACTTTTTTCTCGTTGCTGAGACAAAATACCCAACTCCCAAAAT